GCCATCATAGGGCTTAGATAAAATTTCTTAAAAATCGCAAACAATTACAGTACACTGTACAAAAGCAAAAATGCATCTGATACGTAGCTCCGATATGTAGCGATGCAGACAGAAGCGTGTACAGTATGAATCAGTGGCAGTAATGACAGCATGCGCTGCTATGCAAAAACCGCGATAGAGTGAAGCCGCGGAAGTCGAAGCATGAAGTGGCAAGGGTTCACTGTATTCTTATCACTGGTATATAAGAATCCAATTGATTTCTGCTCGTTAATCTTGTATCCTGCTACTCTACTAAACTCCTTGTTTCCAGAAATCCTATTGTGAACACCTTAGGATTCTCCCTATATAAAATTATATCATCTGCAAATAGCAAAAGTTTTACTTCTTTGCCCAGTTGTACTCCCTTGATCTGTTGCCGTTGTCTAATGGTACTGGCTAGGACTTCTAGCACAATGTTGAATAGAAGTGGGGATAAGGGACATCCTTTTCAGGTTCCCTTATTCAGTGGAATTGTTTTCAGCTTTTCTCCATTGAGTACAATATTAGCTATTGGTTTTTCAGATATGGCCTTTATTGAGGGTTTTCCCTTTTAATCCTATTTCAATAAGAGCTTTTATTAGGAATGGTGTTGATATAGTCAAATGCTTTTTCTGCATCAATTGATATGATCATATGATTCTTATCCTTTTTTCATGTTAATGTGGTGGATTACGTTGTTTTTCAAATATTGCACCATCCCTGGTATGAACCCCACACTTAGTCATGACGTTTTTTTGTTTTGATTTGTTTTGGTTTTGATATGGTGTTGGATTCTACTGGCCAAGATTTTGTTGAGGATTTTTGCATCTATGGTCATGAGGAATATTGCTCTATATTTCTCCAACCAGTCTTTGCCAGGTTTTGGTATTAGGATTATGCTAATTTCACAGAATGAATTTGGGAGTTTGCTGTCCCTTTCTGTGTTCTGGAAGACTTTGTGTAAAACTGATGTCAGCTCTTCTCTAAATGCTTGGCAGAATTCTCCTGTGAAGCCACCTGGATTGAAGTTTTTAGTTAGGAGTTTCTTTATTACCTTATCTATTGCTTCTGTTGTTATGGGTATGTTCAAAGTTCTCGATGGCCATATGAATTAATATGGAGAGTGGTTTTTTCTGGCTAGTTGCCCATGTCATCCAGATTATTGAATATGTTGGAATACAATCTTTTTTTTGTCCCAATCATTTTATTAGGGGCTCATACAACTCTTATCACAACCATACATACATCAATTGTATAAAGCACATTTATACATTCATTGCCCTCATCATTCTCAAAACATTTATTTCCTCTCCACTTAAGCCCCTGGCATCAGCTCCTCATTTTTTCCCCTCCCTCCCCTCTCCCTCATAAACCCTTGATAATTTATAAATAATTATTTTGTCATATCTTGCATGATCCAGAGTCTCCCTTCACACACTTTTCTGTTGTCCGTCCCCCAGGGAGGAGGTTATATGTACATTCTTGTAATCGGTTCCCCCTTTCCAACCCACTCTCACCACTGGTCCTGAAGGGATCATTTGGCCTGAATTCCCTGTGTTTCCAGTTCCTATCTGTACCAGTGTACATCCTCTGGTCTAGCCAGATTTGTAAGGTAGAATTGGATCCTGATAGTCGGGGGGAAGGAAACATTTAGGAACTAGAGGAAAGTTGTATGTTTCATGGTTGTTATACTGCACGCGGACTGGCTCGTCTCCTCCCCGAGACCCTTCTGTATGGGATGTCCAATTGCCTACAGATGGGCTGGGTCTCCACTCCGCACTCCCCCTCATTCACAATGATAGGATTTTTTGCTTTTTGATGCCTGATACCTGATCCCTTTGACACCTCATAATCACACAGGCTGGTGTGCTTCTTCCATGTGGGCTTTGTTGCTTCTGAACTAGATGGCGCTTGTTTACCTTCAGGCCTTTAAGACCACAGATACTGTATCTTTTGATAGCCAGGCACTATCAGCTTTCTTCAACACATTTGCTTATGCACCTATTTGTCTTCAGCGATTGTGTCAGGAAGGTGAGCATCATGGAATGCCAGTTTAATAGAACAAAGTATTCTTGCATTGAGGCAGTACTTGAGTGGAGGCCCAATGTCCATCTGCTACCTTAATACTAAACCTATAAAGATATGCACATAGATCTATTTCCACATCCTCATAAATATATTTACATATATACATGCCTTTATTTAGATCTCTATAAATGCCCTTTACCTCCTAGCTCTTTCCTCTATTTCCTTTTACTTTCCTCTTGTCCCACTATCATGTTCAGCCTTCATTAGGGTTTCAATAATTCCTCTCAGTTACATGGCATACCATCTTTTGTCATACTACGTTATCAATCTTTTCATTTCATTTGGATTTGTGTGACTTCCCGTTTCACCCCTAATTTTAGATATTGTTGTCTGCGCCTTCTTTTCCTTTAACTTTGCTAGCAGCTGTTTGATGATTTTGTTGCTCCTTTCAAAGAACCAACTTTCCTCCCCATCGTTTTTCTGTTTTCCAGTTCATTTATTTCTGTGCTACTTTTTATGATTTCTGTTCTTTTGCTATAGTTGTTGAAGATGTCATGTTAAGGTGCTGAACATGATTCTTTCCTCTTTTTCATGTGTCCATTAATTGCAATAAAGTAACCTCTGATAACCACTTTTGTTGTATCCCATAGGTTTTGGTATGTTGTGTTATCATTATAATTAATTTCTAGGAACTTCCTAATTTCCTCTCTAATTTGGGTCCAGTCTTTTTTAAGTGTGTTATTGAGTCTCCTTTTCCTCGAACATTCTTTTCCTTTTCTCTCAACTTCCTTGAAAAGTTGGGTAATTTGACTGCCATATGTCCTAATGTGTTTTTTTATTGGGCGGGGGCAGGTTAATCTGCCTCCTGGATGGTTGTCTCCTCTGTGATATTAGGGAAATTTTCTTCCAAGAATTCCATTACTATCTTAACTATAGACTTACGTGTTTCACAAGTGTATTTTGATAAGGCATAATTGACCTGCAGTAGTTCAGTTTACTATGAACTCAGCCCCAAAAGCATTCGACAAAATTAATAGACCATCTTGTTACTGATCTTGTAGTAAGACATCTCTTTGACAAAATCAATGACATGGAAAATCTTTTTAAATCTTTGCAAAAGAGACCACTTGATCCTTTAAGTATTTAGGCCTTCAGATCAGGGTGACATTTACTAAGCATTGACATTGCAGTCATTATTCCAAGTAGCCAGTCTTGCTAAGAAGTTGCTCTCTTTTTTATAGGCTGCTGGATAACCATCATGATGATGCTTCTAAGTTCATCTTTCTTCTAGCCAAACCCAACTACAGCTCTCTAGAACAAGAGGATTTCATCCCTTTACTTCAGGTAAGTGCTGTTCTCCTTTGAAAATGGGTTCTGAAGAGTGGTTTTGAAACTTGCTTTAGGAGCTAAGTCCTATTGTTTGTGAAACCCTACATAAAATCCATATTGTAACACAGAATAAACAGGTCTGTTCTCAGTTAAGCAGGGGAAACCTTACCCTTGCCCAACCACAGCAATCACTGGAGAACTTGAGAATTTGAAAAGGTAATCTGAAAAATGCTGGCATAAAACACCAGAACCACTCAACGAGCCTGGATTCTGCACTCAGTGCCTATTGGTTGACTCTTCAGTTAAGCACAATTCTGAAATGCTTGTTTTTCTAGTTTTCCAATGCAGGTATATTTGAGGCAGAAGTTAAGTAGGAGGAAGGGAGAATATAACAGGAGTCAAGCACAGTGAGATAGATGTGCAAGGACAGTTGCTACTAGAGCATAAAGGTAGTTGTGGAGAAATTAAAAAAAAATTTTTTTTAAAGACACCAAGATTATTAAAGGACCCTGGCCTGGGAGCAATTTAGGATAAGGGCATATAATTCTACTCAATCATCCCCAATCTCAATCAGATTTTAGCCAAAATCAGTCATTTATATTAGTACCAAGTTAAAAAAAAGAGTTGACATTAAGTCAGCTCTGACTCATGGTGACCTCACAGGGTTTTCAATGAATGGCTTGTTTTTTGGAAGTAGATCACCAGGCCTTTCTTCTGAGGCACTTCAGAGTGAACTCACACCATAACTTTTCAGTCACCACTTAACTGTTTTGCCGCCCAAGAGCCCTATTACTAGCCTTGATTCTTTGGTTTTATTACTAGCCTTGATTCTTTGAAATATATATATGAAACATTGCCACTTTAAACCTTTTTACATTTACAAATAAGTGTCATGTCCCTTCAATTATATTCTCCATGCTATGCAACCATCATCACTACCCATTGTCAAATGTTTTTATCACCCTAAGCAAAAACTCAGTTATCCCCTAAGCAGTAACTCCCCATTAACTCCTCACCCGGCTCCTGGTACCCACTAATAAGCTCTGTCTCTATCCATTTGCCTATTATATAAATAGGTTCATACAGTATTTGTCATTGTGTATCTGGCTTATTTCATATCACAAGGGTCACCCACAATACAGCATGTTTCAGAACTCTAGTTCTCTTGTTGACTAAATAAATATTCCATTGTTTGGATATCATGTGTTTTGTTTATCCATTTATCTGTTGATGACTACTTGGGTTTCTGCCTTTTCACAATTGTGAATAATGCTGAAATGAACATTAATGTGTAAGTATCCATTTGAATCCTGCTTTCAGTTCTTTAGGCTGTTATATCTTGGAGTGAAATAGGGTTTAATTTTTTTAAGAACCGAAAAAACAGTGGCTGCATTATTTTACTTTCCAACCATCAATGGATGAGTGTTCCAATTTCTTCACAACCTCATGAACATTTGTTTATTTCCATTTACTGTTAATAGCCAGCCTAGTGGGTATGAAATCAGGCAGTGGTGGCTCACTTCCCATGCAAGAGAACTAAGTTTGACTCTCAGCTAGTACACCTTACAGGCAATCATGACTTTTCTGGCTTGCATGTTGCTATTAAACTGGACAGGCTTCATATCTAGTGGTTTATCTGATATGTTTAATTAAAATTTCTGATCAGTACATGGCTACAAGCAAGTTCTCTCAGTAATACACTTATCTTAGTCTCAGTAAGACACCTTCAAAAACAAACAAAAGGTCACTTTTCCATTAAACAAATAATAATTTTGAGGTCATTTTTAACAAAAATCCAGTGGACATTTTCCAAGATCATGGAAGCTTTGCAACCAACTTACAAGAACGCTGCCCCACATAAAGCAAACTTTTATATTAAGCATTTTAAGGAAAGTGGTTGAGAAGACCTCAACAATGAGCGAAGAAAGAGAAGACTGTCAGCCCTGACAAATGAGGAACCTGTGGCTAAAGCCCAGAAACTGGCAGAAGACTGTAGAATCACGATCGCTGCTAACATTGGGATCTCTCGTGGTATGAAATGTTCCACTTTACGCAAGCATCTTGGCCTCAACAAACTTTTGGCTCAATAGGTGCCAATAGGCTTGCACAAATATTACTATCTCAAAGAGCTGTTCTTCCATCAGTCTTTAAAGCAAGATCAAAAAATCATATCATTGTGTGCTCACCTCCATGATACGATCACTGAAGACAAAAAGGTGCATAAGCAAATGTGGCGAAGAAAGCTGATGGTGCCTGGCTATCAAAAGATACAGCTTCTGGGGTCTTAAAGGTTTGAAGGTAAACAAGCGGTCATCTAGCTCAGAAGCAACAAAGCCCACATGGAAGAAGCACACCCACCTGTGTGATCA